AGTTCAGTAACCAAAAATCTGTTATTGATCCGGGCACTGTGTTCGTTAGACGTAGCTGTTCAGTCCAGTAGAAACTACCTGATGAGATTTTGCTCAAACTGTATTGCATCCCTCTCAGTGTAATTAAAAATTTAAATTATGTGGAGAAATGTGGATTCAAATGTATTTTTATTTTGGAGAGCTTTTGTTGATGATATTTGTTGTAACCTCCACAGTTATTACATTATGAAATGCCTGAATTTTATTTTATTTTTTTATCTTTTATATAACTCTTAGACAAACTCTGGGACGTCCAAACTTTTTCTGTGTAATAATTCAAAATATTCGTCAGAAATATTGTTTAGAGTAAAAACTAAATTTGTCATCAAACATCAGAGCTGTGATGTTAGAAAAGTTAACGCAGCAGTCCACTTTTTGTTCTCAAATACATTATAACCCACATCTGCACTTAGAGTAGCTGAACAGGAAAAAATAACTGATTAACTGTGATTGTTCTTACATAATCTGTCTGTTATGTGTTCACAGGAGCAGCAGAGCCAGAGATCACAATTTTTGTTCAAAGAAATGGCGGGGCGCTGCTTCAGTGTGATGTTAAGAATGCTAATCCCAAGCCTACAGTGGAGTGGCAGGACAGTAACAATCTAAACATTACTTCTGAGCAGCCACAGGTCTTTGAACAAGGAGGTCGCTTCAACATCACCCTCAAAGCTACTGTGAAAAGATCCGACCGCTATCGCTGTGTCGCCACACAGTTGCAAATCAAACATCAGGCGCAAAAAGAAATCAATGTAGATTTTGATGGTGAGTGGTATTTTAATCCTTAAACGATTCTTATTGCTTTTGAAAAACGTAAATAATATTCTCAGATTCAATGCAAAGAGTGACGTCTTCAAGGAAACAAAAGATTAAATAATGAACTCATAAAGACAATCAAATATCTGGAAAATGTCAGATTCACTGACACTGAAGCAAAAAGCAACTTTAATCTGAATTCAACTCATAAATGATTTTGTTTGTATATAAGACTTCTTACAGGTGTCATTATGTCCTGTTGTGGTCCCTGAATCCAGAGATGGGAGTAGCCCAACATACAAAGTTCCTAATTGTTGCTGCAACCCACAGAAGACTTAATGATATAAACATAGCAGCAAATTTAAAATAACATATAATAGAGAGAAGTCTGAGCAGTCTTTCTATATTGATGTTAATAAATTAAACAATTAAAGCAACAAAGAAACAGGCCTCCCAATAATATACTGTGTATTAAAGATGAACAAGTGTTTGCTGAGGTCAGAGAGTAAGTGAGCTGAAGGGCTGTTTCCTGTGGTGAGTGAAGGATAATCGGTTAAAACGACTCGACTGAACTGACTTTTTAGTCACAAAGTAGGCTCACACTGCTTTATCATCCTTTTTTTATTCTAATAGGACCATAATTTATATAATAAACAACATCTTGTTGTGTCTTGATGCTCAATCGTCCAGGTAAGTAAATCCCCAAGGCCAGGGGGCCCAGGCCCATCCGCACCAGGCGTGAGAGGTAGAGCGGTTCCTATTCTCTGTGTGACGCTGGGATCTTCCAGGTCTTTGAAGCAGCTTTTGATGTTTGCAGTCACAGCAGCATAGCAGTAAACTCAAACCTACTCCGGGTCAGGTTCATTCAGTGGAAACGTGATAAAATAAGACTTTGACTCAACACCAACCAGGACTGCAGCATTGCTGTTTGAGGAAGTGACATTAAACAGTGCATCGATGTTAAGACCATTTCAAGCGAACCAAATATTTTGAGATCTGTTAGTGCACCTTGACTTATTACTTTTATACAGGTATAACACTTCAGTCAGGAGGGCTGTTAATGATTCCCAAAGTGTTGACTTCACCAATTAAAGAATCTGATCAAGGAACTGACCTCCCAGCCTGTTGTACTGTTGTATAATGTACTGTTTATAAGACTGGGGAAACCTGCAGTCAGCTGAGACTCAAGAAGTCACTTGGATGAGTGATGAAACGTTTCTCCCACTGAAAACGCTACGTCCAGGTGAACAGAATCAGCTTTGGGGGATTTACTTACTTGTATGATTGAGCATGCATCAAGACATTAAAGAATCTGCTTTCAACAAGCAAATCATCAACATATAGACAGAGAGACTGTAACTTAGTCTAATGTGACTTGTAAGGGCTGCAGAAAGGTTCCAGATTTTACATTTGGCTGCAGTGTTCTTGAGTTTGAAAGTAGCTGAAATGTCATTTATTAGCACCTATTTTAACCTCCAAGGACCTGGCGTCCACATATGTGGACATCACATTTTGGGATGTCCTGATTTCCACTTACGAGGACATTATACTGCCACTGTTCTATCAAAATTTTAAGTGAATATCCTCATATTTGGATCTCATTTCTCTCAGAAACAAAAACCAGGTAAAAAAAAATCTGGTAATTCTTTGTTTTTAATCAAATCAAATCAAATCAATTTATTTATATAGCACTTTTCACAGGATAAAAACCACAAAGTGCTTCACAGTAATATAAAACAGAAATATATAAAATACATTAATAATAAAACACAGCACAAATCTAATTAAAAGACAATCTAAATAAATGAGTCTTAAGTTGCTTTTTAAAAGAATAAATACAATCAATTTTTACATTAATCAGGTCCCAAAATAGCAAAGAGAATTTAAAAATGCATGCCATGAAAGAGTTCGGGTCTTAGGAGGTTAAGAGAGAAATGTGGATTTTCCTCTAAACAGCTGACTAATCTTCCAGTTTCTTTGAAAAAACAGAAAACACTACCGATGTTATTCTGTGGCCTATTTGTTCCTTGGTGTTCTGTTGCTGTCTTTGGATATTAATAATATTATTGTTGAAGCAAACAAACAAAAGTTGCTACTAGAGATGCACTGATTGACCAGCCATCTGTTCTCCAGTGCTCTCAGCCCTGTCCGGTGTACAGATTAACTTGTAAGGGTTAAACAGTGTTGTAGGAGTTGCTGATCGCAGTCTTCAGTATTGCTGTGTTTCCTCTACACTGGGATCAGAAAAGCATAAATTCATTCATTCATATCAGGTGATTAAATCTAACTTGGTTAATTTAAATCTTGTGAGGCTTTAAAGAACAGCAAACCTGATGAATATAACCAGGATGAGTTAATCCTGGATCTGAAAGTTGATCTCGGGAGGCGTTTTAAGAGATTAATGAATGTCCTATTGATCAATACATAAATAAATGAAACAAATATGTGGAGTGCAAATGTTATGGCATACAGTGGCATGTAGACTGCACAGCCAAAAAAAAAAGTCACACACTCAAACATCTCGGACCACAGCTAGCTTTGATGATGGCATCTTATTCGCCATATTTATTTTCATGCAGAGTTTCAATAATCTTGAGAGTTTTGATGATGGGAGAATCGTACTGCTGTGTAAAGTCTTCTCCATTGGAAAGATTCAGAGTGGGGTTGACGTCTCGACTCTGTAGAGGCCAATGTGAATATGATCCCTTGAGCTCCTTGAGTCACTTTTTCATAATTTGATTCCATTGAATCCTGGCAGCGTCACCTTGGAATATGTCTATGCTTTTCCCCTTAATATGTATATATCAGGACATTCAGTATATTTAGGTTGTCAGCTGACTTTGTGTTTTAAGCACAAAATGCTGCTGAAGCTGGACCTACAATTTATTAGAGGACATTTGCCACTCCTGCTCCGTTAAATCCAGATGGTGACTTGTGTTTTTTTCCTGTGGGTCAGGCAGTATGTATATATATTAGTGCTGTCAGCGTTAATCTAATTAAAACAATGTTAACGCCATAACCGCATTAACGCAGCATTAACGCAGCATTAACGCGTTAACAAGTTAACCACGCTAATCCGTTGACACTGTGCATCCCTCGCACAGTGCAATCTGTGTTAACTCGATAATGGGGATTTGCCACGTTAGTGCAGTTATGGTGTTCGTCTTGTAATCGGAAGGTTGCCGGTTCGAGTCCTGGCTTGGACAGTCTTGGTCGTTGTGTCCTTGGGCAAGACACTTCACCTACCGCCTACTGGTGTTGGCCAGAGGGGCCGATGGCGCGATATGGCAGCCTCGCTTCTGTCAGTCTGCCCCAGGGCAGCTGTGGCTACAACTGTAGCTGCCTCCACCAGTGTGTGAATGTGAGAGTGAATGAATAGTGGCATTGTAAAGCGCTTTGAGGGGTCCCGAAAAGTGCTATATAAATGCAATCCATTAACTTGCAGGCTTGTAGGATTGTATCCCCCATTTCTAACTCTGCCTGTCTCTCTGTGGCCAAAATATTTTTTGTCTGAAGTCGTCTTTGAGCTAGTTTCCAGATTTGCTGTTGGCTTTGTGCTAAAACTAAAAGAAAACTCGTGTGTGTCTGAATTAAGAAGAGGTTTGGGTCACTGAGACTGTAGCTTCTGGCTAGTCATTTTGCATAGGAACTAGGGGTGGGCGGTATAAACGGTATACGGTTGAAACTATATGAATTTGGCCAACGATAGAATTTTAGGGGTGTCCAAATTCATAGGCTGCATCCTCGTGAGGCCCCGGCCTTCGCGGTCTACGTGGGCCGGGTCCTCCGAAGGCCGGAAGTGAGCGTCTGTGGAATTAGATGGTCTAGCCTTCAGTTTTGCGTCACTGCTGTCTTTGTGGAGTTTAATAAACTCAGCCGTCTGCTTCTTTCTATCTAAAATATAACAGGACACTGGAATAAATTCTCGATCATCTCACACTTCTGATTAATCAGTTTTCCGTTTGTTGTTTATTCAGCTGTGTGAAAACTATAATCTATAATCTCAGCCAAACCAATTTACTCAGGAACAAATAAAACAGAAAAAAGCCAAACAATAACATATTTAAATTATCTAAGATACTTATATATCATGTTTAACCTGAGTAGCGAAAGACCGTGGGCGGTTTGAAAATGATGTCAACCTCGAGACCTCAGATTTAGGGAGACATTTAAAGGGGCTGTTTGGGGCGGTGGGGGGGGGAAGGAGGAGTGGTATACATATACATACCTATACAAAAAACTTGAATTTTACAGTGTTTATTTATCGGATAAAATAAGTTAAATGTCACAGTTTTTATTGTCCGGCCGTAAATAGGCCGGGGGTGTTCGCAATCTAAGTGGGTCGGGTCCTCAGGTGGACGCATAGACTGGAAGTGAGTGACTGTGAAATTGGATGTTCTAGTCTTCAGAATTACATCACGAGCTAATCATGTAATCATCTTGTTCTTTTTGGGACTAATAAAACCCATTTTTTTGAAGATTACATTTGTGCCTGTGTGTTCCTGGCTGCTTCGATCATGACAGTCATCTTGACATGTCAAGAGAGGTTTGTCATCGGCATAAGAATGAAATGCCTTCTAAGGATGGAACCCAACAACAAACTTTATTTATATTGCACATTTAAAAACCAGTGGTGTACCAAAGTGCTTAACATGCAAGAGAGTAGGGTGAAGTAACAGGGAAGGATGAGGGCTATGGCAAGGTACCAAAACATGCTAGCAGGTTGAATGGCATTAAAACACAAAGCAAAAGAATTGCATATAAAAGCATAAAAGAAAACGAAGTGTAAAGGATAAAACAGTCAAAAAATTAAAAATGTTTAAAAGTAATTAAGAATAAGCCAAAGATAAGAATAAGCATTAAGCTAACTAACAAGCAAGTGCTAACTGGTAGAAAAGGCGAGGCTAAATAAGTGGGTTTTAACCGCGATTTGAAGGAATGGATGGAATCAGACTATACTCCCGAAAGCCGCATATACTCCCGAAAGCCGTACAAAGACATAGCGGGATTATCAGTTAGTTCGAAATACATCTGTATGTCGTCGGCATAACGATGATGTGCAATGTTATACTTCTCAAAGATTGCGCGTAAAGGGAACGTATACAGTGAAAAGAGCAGTGGCCCTAAAATTGAGCCCTGTGGGACGCCGCATGACAGAGGAGAAGAAGATGATTCGGAACCGAGAAGGCTGACAGATAAGGTTCTATCTGACAAATAAGACCTAAACCAATTAAGTGCAGTGCCACCAATATCCACTACATCATTTAATAGAGAAATTAGAATATTGTGGTCTACGGTGTCAAAGGCAGCAGTTAGGTCAAGCAAGACAAGAACAACATGGTTACCAGAATCACATGCCAGAAGGATGTCATTAAAAACCCTTAATAATGCAGATTCTGTGCTATGAAGGGTTTCAAAACCTGATTGAAAAACCTCAAAGATGCCATTGTCATCTAGAAAATCTATCAGTTGACTAAAAACAATTTTCTCTAAAACCTTGGAGAGTAAAGGCAGCTTGGAAATAGACCTATAGTTTGCTAAAACTGTGTGATCAAGGCCAGGTTTCTTAAGCAGTGTGTGCACTACTGCCTGTTTGAAATTTGCAGGAACCACACCAGAAGACAGACTGCTGTTAATAATGTCAAGGACATACTGTTGTATACTAAGAAAAATTGCTTTAAAGAATTGTGGAGGGAAAGGATCCCGAGGGGAACCTGTGGGCTTAATATGGTGAACCACATCCTCTAAAGTGGAGAGTGTCACAAGATCAAACTGAGTAAAAACAGCAGCGTAAGGGACAGAGACAGAGGGGTCAGAGTTTGAAAACAATGAGCCGGGAGTTTGCTGTTCTCGCCGGCTCAGATATTTGAAGTTTACACAGCTACATTCTCACCTGAAAATATGTTAAAAGTTTATTTTCCGACCCAGTAAGAGTAATATTAAAAATAAGTAGCTGCAGTAGTAGTAGCCATTGTTGGAAACTGGAATTGGCTGGGCCAATCTGGGATATATTTTAAATTTTGTTGTCCGGGTGGAAAATCAGGAGAAATTCGTGGGGAATGGTGGCTCCGGGAGATTTTCTTTCTGAAACCTTCTGCTGCTGGTTTTAAAGTTTCCATGTTACCAGGCTGTAGACAGCTCTGAAGATTTAAACAGTTTTAGATCCATTACACTCACAGTCTTATGTTAAAATCTCAAAGGACAGCATTATATTTTTGATATTAACAGTAACTCTGGGCCTCTGTGGAGTGAGCAGCTGATCTCGTCTAAAGATGGATAAGAAAAACTCAGGAGTGCTGAATCCTTCAATAATACAGACTATTAGAGTAACAGGTGTGTAGCAACAAGCCTCCAACACAGTGGGTATGCTAGCGGACGAATTAACAACAGAGTGATTTTAGATGTTGTAAAACTATAAAAAAGATGTTAAGCTGTGTGTTTTTTTTTTTCATAACAGTGACATGGTTGTATTTACTTTAATTAAATGAGTCGTCAGTCGCGGTAAACCCATCAGCAGATAAACTGCAGCAGCTGGGCTACTTAAAAAGTGTAGGAGGGCGTGTTTGCTGTCACGTCCAGCAGATGTGTAGGTGAGAGTGTGACACAGTTGCTCCACCTCAAGTCACTACTGCACAGACTCAAGATGGGAGCCTCCACAAGCGGGGTATTTTAGCTTCATTTTTGCATAATGGGAGGAAGTGCTCTCGCGTCGTCCATTTTTTCTACAGTCATTGGCTGAAGAAGGGATATAGGCTAAGGCCACCATGTGCTCGCGGTCCCTTCTCTGGGCCGGGGCCCAGAAACGCTGTCCTGGGCAGGGTTTTCCCTAGATTTTTCACTGTCTGGTCCCTTACCCAGGACCAATTTGAGAGGGGAGATCCTACCAGAGGGGGACTTCAATCTCTTTCAGTCCCACCTTGCTTGACAACTGATGCAGCTATAAGAGCAGGAGTGAGGCAGTATGAAGGGACATGACAGAGAGACGTCTCTGAAAGACTGAAATGACACACACACACACACACACACACACACACACTAATCTCTTTTTCTAAATCCTGTGATGGATTTAGAAAAAGCTGGTGTGATTTTTGGGGATGGCCTTCTGACATATGTATTTTCAGCATGCAGTTTGTTGTTAATTCCACAAACTTTACTTGTCATGGTTGTCATAGTTTCTTGTTTTATTATATTTTTTTTATGAGCCTCCAACATCATTTCCTTGTGTATTTATTGATGAATGTATATTTTGGTCACTATTTCAACCGTTTACACAATTTTATCCTCAATTTTCTCAAATTGATTATGTTCTCTGATATTTATGCATCTTTG